TAGAATTCAAAAAAAAAAAAAATTCCGGATATGATGTATAGATAGATATGTATAGGTATTAATATGTATGCGTAAATAGTACATTATTAATTGTTGTTAAAATATTATTTGCATTAATATTGTTTTATCATTTCATCGTAGGTTGTACAAGAAGGGAGGAGTTTACAAAAATATAAAAATAAAATATTTATTTGTTGTTACGCGATGCAGAAAAAGTAAATTATTATTTAAACTCTATATAAGTAATTTTAGGGTTAGATTTCTTAACCCTGCGCCAACCTCTATTATTTTTCATGAGGAAAAAACCTACCATTCTCAATTAGTTCAAACTAATCCAACAAAATCCTTATTGAATAAAATATTAGTGCGGTGGATATAATAAAAAGCGCAACGATAAATGGCAAAGAAGAAAACAATCAGGATAATTATCATTATTGTTAAAGGAAATTGTCCTCATCCTCATTTGAGCATCATAAAATTCTTGAATAACATTTTCCACAACAAAATCCTGGACACTCACTACTCATAAACATAATAATATAGGTGTCCTGAAAAGGAACGGAACTCAATGACTAATCAACATCTCTCTGTTGAATTAAAGCTAGAGAGAGACTATTCCAGTTCTTGGTAAGAAGTATATAGCACTTTCTAATTTGGCATGACATTTTTTTTTACCTTTATATTTTTAAAGGTCATACAAAATTTGGGGGTTACACGCCATATTACGTATATTAATATTATTATTATTTCGCATAAAATAGGAAAAAAATAAATAATAACGATAAAAAAATTTTCCAGGTTATAGTCATCCAAATTTGGGCTGGGCGTGCAACACTCACTTGGTTAAACTATAAATCAATCATATGTTAATGCCAATTTTAGGAAATCCTTTACGCCATCGGCATAACAATGAAAGTTTACTTTTTTTTATTTTAAGTATATGTATACGAAAAATTAAATTTTAGAGTAAATAAAATAACGGTGCAGCAAGTACTGTACGAACCATTTTTAGTAATGATAATCGTACTTACATGTCTCTAATTTTTTATGTTCATACAGTACTTGCTTGCACTAAGTGTACAGTACTCAACCCGCCTGCATATACTCACAAAATAACGAGTTTTTATTTGAAAAATTAAATTTACAATAATAATAAAAATAATAATAATGTAATTTTTTTAAAATAGAAATCAATTATATACTACTATTATCGCCATCGTTATTACTATCATTATCACCGTAATAATAATAATCACTGATATCACTAATATCTTCATCTTCATCTTCATATTCGTATTCATATTCATCACCATATTCTCCTTTCCCAACATCTAATTCATCATCTTTATCATCTTCATCATCTTCGTTTTCTCCAAAACCAGGTAAATATTGTTTTTTAAGAAGGTTTATAAAAATATTACGAAAGAATCCAATTTCATGGTATAATTTTTTATCATCCGATGACAAATTAATTATTCGTGATTTATTATTTTCTGTGATGAACAATTCGAATTGCTCGAATTGTTCAATGAAATTTTTAACGTAAATCCTAATCACTTTCGGTGACTTCTTTTCCGACATTGCTTGTTGACAATCTAGCAAACATTGCAGTACGCATTTTAATTTTGTAGATACTATATGTGATATTATTGTATTTGGATTAGATTCACTAGAGTCGGAATGATTAGAATCCGATGAAGGTCTTCTTGAAG